GGGACACATTTTCTTGCCCATACACTGTCAGTGTGAACCTCAGGAAGTCTACAGGCACAGATGGTCACCAGGTCACATTGTTCCAGTGGGGTGAGCCTGTTATTTCCCATAGGTACCCTCAGCACCCCCGCTTTGTTTGTTTGTTTTTGGATTTTTTGAAGGGTTTCTCTGTATTGCTTTGGAGCCTGTCCTGGAACTTGCTCTGTAGACTGTAGACCAGGCTGGCCTCTAACTCACAGAGATCTGCCTGCCTCTGCTGGGATTAAAGGTGTGTACCACCAACACCTGGCTCCCTCAGCCCCTTTTACTCTGGCTTGGATAAATTCCAAGCCTACAGGGAAGTGGGAAGACAGCCCAGGCCACCTCATGCCCATTTCTTCACTGTGTCTCACGCCACAGTCTCTCAGGAGACCGTGTGGCATCATGCAGGCTTCCTGCTGCGTGCCCAGGCCCAGCCTAGGGCTCTAGTCTCATTACCACAGATAAGACCACTGAGAGAGCCAGGCAGCACAGCCAGTATGGTCAAGGAAGGCACCCTGGGCTGTCACACCCAGAGCTGGAGCTGTGGAAGGCAGGTGTAGCCTCCTCGGTGAATAGATGTCCACACCAGACCCTGTCTGCAGCTGTCCTAGAGCAGGGTCCACAGTAGGATCCTCACTTGGAGTTCCCAGGACCACTGATCCCAACTTCACCACTGCAGGTCAGAGTATCTTCAAGATAGCAGTGGGAAATGATTTAGGGGCTAAGCTTGGTATTGACCATGAGATGTGAGCTGTGTGCCAAATCACATGCCCCCTTGCCATGGGGTACAGGGTTAACCCTGTGCTCCTGGTGACTAAGAAGTGTTAAGTGACTGGCATGGGACTTGAGAGCCAGATCATGACCTTAAGCTGTTGCAGCAGTCACTCATGTCAGGGAGGCCTTCCTAGAGGTGTTGGTGCCCGATCTGAAGGCTGGTCCTGGGAAACTGTGTGGTTAGCTGAGGGGCCTGGGTGCAGAGTCACTGAGTAAGGTTCCATCAGGCTTGTGCACAGCTGATGTGTGGATTCTGGGTGAGCAAAGCATCCACTCTCAGGGCCAGCATCATGTCTCTGTAGCCTTAAGGGATGAGGAGAAGTTGTCTGGTACCTGGCCTTGCCCTATGCCAGCTCTTAGCTATTTGGGCAGCAGTGTGGTCCTGCTTTTAAGCAGGAATCTTGCCTTCCCCTCCTTGTCATCTTGGACAACATTATTGTGTCCCCCTCATACACTCCCTTATCTCACTCCTGCTAAAGGATCTCAAATATGCACCCTGATAAGGCAGCGCAGCCCTGCTTCCCAGCCCCTTCCCAATGCCGGCCTCTACTTTCCCCAGAGTAATTAAGATAAATGCAGCCGATAATGTGCGCCGTATTCTTAAGCGTACCCTCTGGGCCACATCTCAGATATAATTTTACCTGCAGAGGTTTATCTGAGCACTCGGGTAACAGTTTGTAAGAAAAGCGGCAGCGTTTGAAGAAACAGGAAAGGGGAATCGCTGAAAGAAACATCAAGGCACTGCACCTGCAGCCCCTCCCCTGGACACTGGGCAGTCAGGCAGCTGAGAGAAAAGGAATGCTCCACCCCCTCCAGGGATGCTGGGGCCAGCTGGGGATCTGGGACCTGGATCTCTCCTCTAGTTCAAAAGGGTCCTGGCCTGCTGAAACCCACACCAACACAACAGCACCCAGAGGCTTTGCCAGGAGCCCAGGCAGGGGAGAACCATCCTCATGCTGCCTATGGTCCTTGCACCAGGTCAGGGACCCAGGGGCTGGTGCTCTAGCCTTAGGTTAGATGATGGCAGAATATGGGTACAAAGACCAAGAACAGAGTAAATTGAGTTTTGCCACAGGCTGAACAAATGGAGACAGGGCTGTTCAAGAACCTGGGACCATGGATTGGAGAGATGGCTCAGAGGTGGAAAGGATGAGAATCGGGTGCTGGGACAGGGACTTCAGGCTTGTTGGGTGTAAGAAAGGCAAGGAAGGACACATGCTGCCTGCTGCATTTAAGGACACATGCTGCCTGATTTTTATATCACTGCTTGGCAGTATTCCCACTGTGTCTTCTTGGGCAAATCACAGACCTCTCTGAGCCCTCTATAGCTGTTTGCTTCCTATTTTTACAGTAATCTAGAAGCCCTGAATCAGCCACACCTCATGCCTGCCTGGCACAGCATCTGGTGCAGGTATAGACTAGTGAAGGAGGATGGATGGATGGATGGTAGGTGAATGGATAGGTGGATGGGTGGATGGATGATGGATGGATGGATGATGGATGGATGGATGGTGGATGAATGATAGGTGATGGATATTGGATGGGTAAATAGAGTTCTGCATGGCCCCCAGCAAGCCTCCACCTCTTCCAGCCTCTGTTGCTCTTCTCAGAAAAAGGCCTCATCCAAGCCCCTTAAGTCTGCAGCTGTGAGGAAGCATGTGTCCTCTTGGGCATGTACCACCAAGAGCCACCAGTTGGCACTTCAGCAACAGCAGTCTGAGATAGGTTCTTAGGGCCTGATCATCTCAAGAGTCAGGAGTGTAGGTGCCGCTGGTGTCCCACAAGTTTGCAACCCAATGTTTCTGGTGGTCACAGTCTCATTAGAGGTTCCGCTGAGGGTAGACCCATTACCTAGGTGTCTGCTCACATGGCAGGCCTCAGCTCCTTGCCATGTTTTCTTTCCAGATGTTCACTCTGTCACTCCCCGGGTGTGCAGTCAGAGAGCTGGGGTATGGCCTGCGCAGGAGACCCCACTCACTGCCACCAGGATTTGTCCCTTAGCAAGTCACTGTGTTTAGGCTGCAGGGATGAGGTCAAATGATACATGATTATTATGTCTTTTTTTTTTTAACATGTATGCATTTAGTTTGTTTGTTTGGGGAAGACCACATGCCACAGTACACATGTAAAGGTCAGAGGACAACCTTTGTAGGAGTTAGTTCTCTCCTTCTACCATGTGGGCTCCAGAAATCATACATGAGCTATCAGGTGTGGTGGCAACACCCTTACTTGATCAGCCATCTTGGCAGTTTCTGTCTATATTTAAAACTACACAGGCAGCATCTCTCCAAATTGGGAGTCCTGCAAGCTGCCCCGTCAGGTCACCTTCACCATGTGCAGAGGCCCAGCATCTCTGAGGAATCTAGACCTGACGGCAGCCATGTTGGGGTGCTTAAGAGCAGACTAATTAGCTCTTTAGGTGGAGTGCCCTGGAATAAGTAAGTGTGTACCAAGGCTCCCATGCAATGAGAGCAAGCGAGGAGCAGAATGCCAAGCAGAGGCATGCTCAAGAGCAGAGCACACTGTGGGAATGCTGATCTCGAGGCCTGCACTTTGGGGCTGACAGGTGGTTTGAAACTGTGGCACTGGGCAGGCTAGAAGCCTGGGGTCTGACAACTTCTGGGGTAGCTAAAGTGCAGCTGTGGCAAACTGTCTTGCACCATCCATGCCACCAGTGGCTGTCATTTACTCTCTCTGCTTTGAGACTTGTTGAAGAGAAGCAGTAAGCTCCTTAGGACTTTCCTCTCATGCAAAAGCAACCAAGGACCCTCCCAGAGAGACAGATCACCCCAAATTCTAACATACTGTCCTCTCTCTTTGCAGCCAAGAAAGTCCTGTTCCTCAGGCAGTTGGTCAGAAACCCAGTGAGGGGCTCCAGATCCCCAGGTATGTGATGCCTACAGCCAGACCGCAATTGGGGGGCTACTACCACTGACTGGAGGAGGTGCCTTGCCCCTGAGGCTCCCTCCACCCAACATACTGCTCCTGTCCCCTGCTCAGACAGTAATTGAGAATGCCAGTTGCCTAGCCTTCTCCTGAGCCAAGCCATCTGACAGGCGATGTGAAACCATAGCTCAGAGCTGGGTAGATGGTAGCATCACCCTGGGACCTAGCAGACCACCAGCTCTGACAGCCCCTGGAGGTTGTAGTGGCTGGGGCACCACTGTGGTAGACTGGCATGCACCATTCACCCAGCATTGGAGCTCAGTTCTGCCCTAGGGAGCCTTCCTGAAGCCAAGAGATTCACTAGGAGCCCCATCTCCTCCTCAGCCCTCAGTGAGGGCTCCTGTTCTTACGTAGTAATGTCACCCATCAGGTAGGGCCTTCATGGGGGACCCTGGATGTTTATGTCCCCTGCCACCTAGTCCCTGGGAGCTTCTGGACCCAATGTGATATGGCTAAGTTCTGCAAAAGACTGGGAGGTGCCCCTTTGGGGGACCCACTCCCTTCACCAGCAGAGAGACCTTGGGAAGGTTGTGTGGGTTTCTCACCTATAATCAGAGATGACAGAAGCAATTTTGAGTGCCTAAGCCCTGTGAGAACAAAGGGGTCACATTCAACATTGGGGCAATGGAATTAACACCATCACCCCCATTGCATAATCAGTCAACAAACAAGTCTTTCCCAAGGACCCAGTTGCTCATCGCAGTGAGAACCAGAGAAGGGAAGGAGGCTCTCCTCCAGGTGTGTATATAGGCTGGAGAGGAACCTAGATGTGGCAGATGAAGTCTCACATTGCCCCATCCCCCCTTCTCACCCCAACCAAGTCTACCCTGCTCTCTAGTCTTCTGTATTTGCTTCCCAGCACACATGATATGCTGCCCACTGCTGGTGGGCACTGGAATGTCATCTACCCTGAAGATTATGGACAGGCTTGCCCTAAATTAATGGGGCTTTTCATACCCAGCAGGTAGCTATTGGGACTCCTCTGCAGAGAGAAGTAGTCTTCTCTGACATTCAGACCCCTCCCCTTTCCCACTTCCTCCCTCCACTTTTCTGTTTGTCAGGGATCCTGCTGTCTAAGCCAGTCACCTTCTTTTCTGAGACAAGGGCTTCTGTGATACCCACACAAGTGATTGCTGCTTCTGGCCTAGACACAGTCTCCTTAGGAGACTTCAAAGGCCAGCATGAACTCCTTGCCCCAACCCCCAAGATCCAGTCATGATAAATCTGCAACTCATGTGTGTCCTTTCCTTGCAGGCTCCACGCAGGACCATGAGTATAGGCTTCCCTGAGCCCCACCAGGGGGTGAGGATGGCCACCCAGCCCATTACCGGGGCTCCTCCTCCGACCACTGCATCCTCCTAGCACCCGGGACGGTGGGGCCATGCCAGGAGAGCGGCCCCCAACTCTTCCCAGAGACTTGCAGTCCTGCCATGTTGCCAGCAGCCTAGGGGGCCCCTCTCAGCACCCTCTCAAGGACCACAGCTCTGCCAGCAGGACCACCCAGTGCATGAGAGATGAAGGCAACAAGGCGCAGGCCCAAGGTTCCCCTGAAGCCCAGCTGAGTCAGTCCAAAGAGGTGAAGCCAGAGGACTTGGTACTGAGAACTCAGGCCCCAGCGGGACAGAACTGTATACAAGCTTACTCATGGCTGGCCAGCAGGATGGAGAGCAATCACCCACAGCTGCATAACCTAAGCACTTCAAGAATTAGATGCATCCTGGATGAGCCACCTAAGGACCTACAACATGAAGCCCCCCAAGTGTCAGAGACCAAGGCTCCTCGGCTCCCAAAGACCAGAGCCCGCCGCAGGTCCAGCATCCCAAGGGCTGAGGCCCTGCCCTCCCCAGAAGAGAATGGCTCCCAAAGGTGCTTTCAGGAGGCCCCTTCCAGCTTTACCTCCACCAACTGTACCTCATCAAGTGTCACTCCTGGGTCCTTGCCCCAGAGGGCCCCCCAGAGCAGTGGCACCAGCCCCCATAGGCCTGCTTCTGGCCCTAACGTCCAGGCCATTGGGACCAACCCCTGGCCTCCTGCTGCTGAAAACAGCTTCCCAGGTGCTAATTTTGGGGTCCCCTCTGCAGAGCCCAAGCCCTTCCCTGAAGGCAATAGGCCTAGCAGCCCCCAGGGGGTCTCTGTTCCCTACCCCTTCCCTGTAGAAACGACCCAACATGAGCAAGCAGCTGGGACAGTGTTGTACACCTTCCACCAGCCCCTGGTAGCATGGTCTGAGGAGGCCCTGGGTACAAGCTCTGCCTACCCATCCCTGCCCTGCAACCCAGGCCAGTCTAGGGGAGCCAACACTCCCACTGACCTTGGCACTGCCCTCTCCCCGCCTGGTGCTGCTCACTTGGTCCCAAGCCCCTTCCATGACACTTTGCACAAGAGCCTGACCAAAGGCCTTCCTGAAGGCCCCCCTCCTATTCATGATGGACTGGGGAGCCCCAGGGGACCCCCAAATCCTCCACCCCAGAGGCACTTTCCAGGGCAGGGGTATGGAGCTAATGGGGTGGGTACCAGCCCAGTGCCTCTGGACACAGAGCTGCCCACCCCTGGGCCACCACCCACCCATCTGCCCCAGTTGTGGGATTCCTCAGCACCTTCTTACCCCAGGTCCACCCTGGGCCCTGCAGTTGCTGACAGCACTGCCTTCTTCAAAGGCCAGCAGCTCTGCCTTCCACAGAGTCCCCCCCTGCCCTGGTCTCCAGTGCTTACAGCCCCTGGGCCAAGTTCCCACCAAATGGGGGTACTGAGCCAACTGGCGTTCCCCGGGGGGTCTTCTGAGTGGCAGGGGGACAGCCAGGGAGCCCTGAATGCTTTAAATACAATCTCCAGGCCTGGGGAAACACCTTCAGCTCTCAGGAGCAGCCCAGGCCAGCCAAGCAGTTCCCCACGGCTGCTAGCCTATGGTGGGCTGAAGGACCCTGGGGCCCCGTCCCTGTTCTTTGGGGGAACCCAACCTCAGATGTCCCCCCAAGGGGTCCTCAGCCTGCCCCCACCCAGGCTGATGGGAGCCTCTCCCAGTGAGTCCCCTCTTCCCTCACCTGCAACCAACACAGCCAGCAGCAGTACCTGTTCATCCCTGTCGCCACCATCCAGCAGCCCAGCCAACCCCAGCTCTGAGGATAGCCAGCAACCTGGACCCCTCAGGTCCTCAGCCTTCTTCCTGCCCTCTACCCATTCCCAGGAGACCAGCAACCCCTTCCCTTCCCCTGAGCCCACACACACCCTCCCCACATGCTACCAGTCAGAGTCGACCAAAGCCTTCCCTCTCCCCACAGAGGGGCCAGGAGCTGAGGATGCCTTCAAGAGCCTGGAGGGAGTCCCATTCCCCCACAAGAGCCCCTCTGTGGGCAGAGACAGGTTGCAGGGCTTTGCTCCAGAGCCACCAGCATATTCCGCCCAGCACTTCTCCCTGAGCAGCGCCAGCCTGGACCAGCTAGATGTACTGCTCACCTGCAGACAGTGTGATCGCAACTATAGCAGCCTAACAGCCTTCCTGGAACACAGGCCATTCTGCAGCCTGCTGCTAGCCAAGACCAAGGATGGCTCCCTGCAGGCCCCAGGGCTCCCTGCACCCACCACCTGCTCAAAGGCACCCACTGATGCACACTCAGGCTTGCTTGAACAAAACCAGCCTGCCCCCTTCCTGCTAACCAGGGATGACCAGGGGGACAGCAAAGATGAATCCCTGAGAACAAGCTTCCTGCCTGCCAGCCTGCCTGTTACCCCCTTCCCACTCCCCACCTCAGATCTTGACATGGAAGATGATGCCAAGCTGGACAGGCTCATCACAGAGGCGCTCAATGGCATGGAGTACCAGTCAGACAACCCTGAACTCGACAGCAGCTTCATTGATGTCTTTGCTGATGAGGAGCCTTCAGGCTCCAGGGGGCCTGGGGCTGGGCATTCCCTCAACACGCAGGTGGACACAACCCCCAAGAATGGTACCCAGCCCCAGCTCCCATCCAGAGTTGTCATGCCAGAACCCCAAGCTCGCTGCACTGGAGACAGGGGTTGCCCAACCCGAAACAGGCCCAAAACCCGCTCGCTGGGCTTGGCATGTGCAGAAGCAGATACAACCACCCTGGTCAGGCAGCAGAGGAGAGGGAAGCAATTCAAGTTGTTTCGGAAAGAGCCAGGTGTGACCAAGGGCACTAACAACCCTGCCAGAGCCATCTGTCTAAGGCCAAGGAAGAAGGGTCACAGTGCTGAGCGTCCCGGGCCCCAGGACCGTAGAAGTCGGGCTCGCAAGGGCCATGCTCATGCAGACCACAGCATCCCCAGAGCCACCTCTAAAGAAACCAGGAGCTCCAAGCACCTGCAACTGCCCTCTGGGAGGGACTCCCGAAAAAGGAGGGGGCGAGGGGGCTCCTGGAGCAAGGAACTCATCCACAAGATAGTACAGCAGAAAAACAGGTGCCACAGGCGGCAGGCACCACGTGCCCAGGTCTCCTGTGTTTCTCTGTTACCTGCAAGACCACCTAGCACCCAGAAGAGGAAGCTCAAGGGGCAAGGCTGTGCCTCTGAATCTGAGGAGGAGGGTGGTGTGCAACAGCGGGATTCGGGGACTCATAGCCAAGAATGTTCCCGCCACAGCCGCCAGCGGTGGCGCCAAGGCAAGAAGAGAAAGAAAGAAGATTTGGCCCAGGACCCAAGAAAGGCCATGAAGCAGGAGAGTGGTGAAAACAAGGGCTTCCTGACTACAAAGAGGACACACAGCCTGTTGCAGAGCTTGGATGCTAGAGAAGTTCCTGTGGGCAGAAGCTCTGAGCATACTGATCACCCCACAGTAGCCCCAAAACATCCTCCACAGGTCCTCACCACCACCAAGACACAAGAGGAAGCAGCCCCGGGCTTTCCCCAGGAGGTCAAGAAGCCTGAAATTGCTGCTGAGTTACACTCTGATATCACAGACCTCAAAGAGATGTCTGGTTCTCCAGCTAGCTGTGATGGGGAAAGGCCCAGACCCGCTGCTCCAGTGCCAACACAGGCTGGCAACCCCAGGCCACCAGGAAGCCACCCTGAAACACTATCAGGAAAAAGCATGCCAGCAACAAATGCAGGTTGTCTTCTGGGTACTTCTGGGTGCATGAAGCTCCCCAGTTTGCATACCGGAGAAGACTCCTCTGCTCCCCAGCCTGGAGGGTGCTTGGCACCCATTGATAAGGTGGCAGATGCTTTCTACACTGAATCCGGAATCCCAGTTTTCAAGGACTCTGGTTCTGGTTGTGACCCTGATCACTGTGACAGACACTCTATAGGATGTCCAGCTGCCAAAAGAGGGCCCCTGCCTAACAGTGAATTGTTCCTTGTATCCAAGGACCTAGCTAACTGCTTCCCTGAAGATTCGTGCTCCAAGCCTTTAGCTGACACACTGCCAGCCAGCAGCTGCCACCTTGGCCAGGACAGTATGGAAAATCTTGAGTCAACACCACCAAAGAATCCACCCTACCCAGTTGAAACAGACCCAGGAAAGGTGCATTCACCACTGACCTTAGAGTCCACATCCCTGTTTGCAGGACTGCCTGAGGATGCATTTGACCCACCATTGTATGAGAGCTTATCTGAAAACAAGGTCACCCATGTGCCACTGGTGTGTACTGACCCTCTCCCTAAGAAACCTCTGACAGATCCCCTGTATCCACCATTCTTGCTGCTTGAGGAAGCTTCTCCTGTGCTGCCTGGCCCCTTTCCTGGACTCTCCAAGGGAAAAACACCCAGCAAGAAGTGTCCCTTTGAAGAGACAGTACCTCCCAGCCCTCCTCCTGTGCCTGAAAAGGGAAGTGACTGTAGTGTTTCCCTTATGAGCAATCTGTGCGAGGATGAACTGGAGATCAAAAGATTGGTAACTGAATTAGAAAGCCAACTGCAAGGGAAAGGGAGTACACAGGGGGCCTTGGAAGAGCCTGAGGAAGCTACAAATGAAGGCAGGATGGACTCAAGCCCAAGGCAGGCCTCCCTGCTGCCCACACCTCAGGCCACCTCAGCCCACAGAGACATCCTCTCAGCAGCCAACCTTACAGGTCTTGAAGGATCAAGCTCACAGCAGGAAGGGGCCCTCAGGAACCCCCAGAAACAAAGGTCCTTCCTAGCCTCCCGCCACACAGGCAAAGCAGCACCTCCCCCAGATACCCAGGAAGATCTTGGTCCTGGACCTCCTCTCAGTCCTGCAGGTTTCAGCCTCAGTTTTGGACAGTTATCAGTGGCCAACATCTCCAACACAGACTGCCAGGCCTCCATAAGTGACCATTTGCCTGACTCCAACAAGCAACGGGCACCCTTGCAACAAGCTGAGAATTCAGCCAAGTACAGCCCAAGCCCTGAGCTTTTGTTTTCTAAAAATAATGAAGCTTCTGTGGCACAGGAGGACAGTCCATTGCTGCTTCCTGATAAACTTACAAGAGGGCATTCTCCAGACCCCTATGAGGCCCAGGAGCCCTGCCCAAGTTCCTCTGCACTAGAAGGGTTCAACAGCCCCAGTGCCTATCTGGCCCTAGAGACCAACTTGATGCTTAAGGGTGATGAGAGTGTCACCTCCCCTCCAAGTGTTAGTCCCAGCCATGACTCTAAGGGACACCTTAAGGGCCAAGCAGGAAGTCCCATAGGAACTATGCTTACTACCCCTGTTACAAAGGACCCTGGCTTTAAGGGAGAATCTGTCCCTGCAGGATCCTCTCCACTATCCATCTTCCAGAGTGGTGGCAAGGCTTGGTCCCATCCCATGCCAGATCCTTCCTGGATGACTGGTGGCCCCCAGGAACCAGCCTGCGGCTCCTTTCCTCTGCTCCAGGTTCTGGATGCTAGAGCCAGGAGTGAAGAAAATACCCAGGGCCTTCAGCCTGGGGACCCTTCGGAGGCCAGTGTGAATGGGGGCTCCTCGGGGGCTGTAAAGATGTCAGCTCTAACTACAGACATCCGAGAGCAGCTGAGGTCCAAGGCAGATGGACATCTGGGCACACCAGGTCAATCCAAAAAGACCAAGGGCCGAGGTCATGCTAACAGACTTCAGCCAAATAACTGGAGGAGCCTAAGGAATCCAGACACACTCACCAAGGTCAGAACACATTTGGAAGGTAGGACAGCCAGGAGCAGAGGGGCACGACAGGGGAACAGAGCAGTCAGGGGCTTTAGGAAGCAAGCACTGCCCTCCACAAGCCCCGCCCACTCTGGTGGCATATCCACCATTTCCACCCAGAGGGAGGAGCCTTCAGAGAGAAGTCCAGAGGAGGCAGCCAGCCCACAGCTGCTGTTTAGCCAGGAGAGCCCAGCTCCCTCCAGCAGGGGCCTGGCCACTTGTGCCCTCTCAGCCACCTCCCCAGCCACACCTACTCCCAATGACTTTGAGCCCCTACCCCAGGAAGACTCTGGGGCCAGAGTCAAACCTACTGGGCCACCAGCACCTTCCTTCTACAGAGACCTACCCATTCCCTACCATCAGCCAGCCTATGCTGTCTTGGCACCTCTGGGAAAAGCCAGTCATGGCCAAGCTACCAAAGATGCTGGGTCCCTAACAACCCCTACATCACTGATAACAGGCCACTGTGGCTCTGAAGAGACTTTATCCCACCACTCACTCCTGGGGACCAGCAATCCCAAAGACTCCCCCTCAGGCCCACTCAGCCCCACCAGTTTCTCTGTAATACTTGACAGGGACAGTCCCAAAGGCATCACAGTAAGAACATTAGAAGAATCTGGAAAAGAGGAGTTGAGGACATCTCCTGCCCATGCCTCTGCTCCTCCCCCAGGGGCTCCCAGTTCCCCCAAAATAACCATCAAAGCTGGCCTTCTGACCGATATCCCCACCAAAGATGACCTAGATTCGGATGAGAGACTTGAGGTGCCAGATCCCCACTGCATGGAAATCCCACCCATCAGCAGCCCAGAAAGGACATACTGCAAGGACCCTTCCTTAGGGCCCCAGAGCAGCACACCCTGCCCTGGCCACAAAGAAAGCCACAGCATTATAGCTGTGCCCACAGACTTCGCCACTCTGGGGACTATGGAACCAGACTCTCAGGTCTGCCAAGACGAGGCAGCAACCAGTATCAAGGAACAGGACAACCCAGAAACACCTGGGACAAGACACTGTGATGTGACAAAGGTTCCCAGAGCCAATGCGCAAGGCATGCCCACAGGGCTCCGCTTGGCTCTAGCAGCCTCTCTGAGCTGCACAGCCACTGACTTCAGGTCTGAGTCTCCTCAACACCGTGTCAATATCTCTCATCATCCTCCCAAGAAGGACCCCTTCAGTCCCCAAGAGTCTAAACGGAGGCCCCGAGGCTTGAAAAAGAAACCAGCGCCGACAGAGAAGACCCCAGCTGAGCCACCCATGACCTGCGAACTCTGCTCAGCCTCTTTCCTCTCCAGAGCAGGCCTAAGCCGGCACAAAGCCAGGAAGCACCGGCCACACAGGGAGGCTAGCTCCCAGCTGAGCCCCATGATCCTGCCAGCTTGCCAGCCTCCAGATTCCATGAACCAAGCGTGCCAGCCCCCTGGGAAGAAAAGCTGCAAAATGCTCGGGAAAGGGAGACCAAGTCACTCACCCTTGGGCCCTGGCCACTCTTCTGGGCCACCTCCTGATATGTTGAAGGTGACCAGTGAGAAATCTGAGGGACTCAGGACACAAGACACTCCTCATAACCAGCAACCACACACCCCAGGCCTAATAGAGCAGAGGAAGGGTGCAAAGGTTCCAGCCTCAAAGCCAAGAAGACCGGATGGGTGGCAAGCAGAACAGCTCCATCCCAACCAGGGAGAAATGGGAAGCCAGAGACAAGATGGAGAGCCTGCTGATTCTCCCAGCCACTCAAAGAGGAAGTCAAACAGGAAAGGGGGGAAACTGAGAGTGAGGAGGGAAAAGCATGGTCCTGAAGACACTTTCTGTGTGACTTCAGACAGAGACTTCTCAGATCCATCAGCCACATATGACAACCATCTCATCCCCCTGAGCCTCTCGCCTGAGGGAGACTACAGAGCCTCTCTCAGGCCACCAGCTCTATCCCCCACAGTAGGGCCCAGAGCTCTGGAGGATGCTGCAGACATGAGCACAGGGGCTCTGTGTACAGAAGAGATGCCAGCACAGAAGGGCCCCCAAGAATGGCAAGTCTGCCAAGGGATGATAGAGAGAGAATGTACAGAGGAACAGAAGTCATCCTGGGTACAGTGGTTCTGGGGACCAGGAGAGGCCAAGGCATTGGACATTAGTGGAGAATCATCACAGGCTGTTGAGAGCCAGCCTGCAGAGGACAGCAGAGGAGCCAAAGGTGGGTCAGATGGAGGCACTGGGGAGGGGACACCTGATTTACCTGATAGCAAACACAGTCTTGAAGTGGACAGCACCATCAGCAGCTGCTCCCAGAGTCCTATCAATGACCCAGAAACCCAGAGTGGAGTTCTGGGGCCCAAGGTCACCAGTCCTGAAGCCTCCAGCCCGGGTCCAAGGGAACCTCTAGACTTATTCGATGATGACGCATCCTTCTCACAGCTCTTTCCCCTGGACGGCCGCATCACTCAGAAGAAGAACCTACGTGTCTATGGGAAGCGCTGCAAAAAGCCAAAGCGCTCACCGCCAAAGGAGCCCCACGCCGAGGTGGTAGACAATGCCGCTCTCTTCTCCACACGCTTGCCCACAGATCTCAGTGACTCAGGCTCTCTGTGCCTGTCCCGTGAGGATGAGGACCTATGGGATGATGAAGCCCTGAGTTTGCCTGAGTCCCTCCTACTAGATGGGCTCCTGAGCAGTAAGATACCTGGCCTTGACCCCTGGACCCCCAGCTTCAGCCTATGGGCCCCAGAACCCAACAGGGAGGCCAGCTATATGGAGGAGCCCTCCTGCTTTACTGAAAACCAGGATGAGTGGTCAGAAGCTATTCCCCAGCTGCACATGGTCCCAGCAGCCTGGCGAGACATGGAGCTGTGTAGCCCTGCCTGTGAAACATCCTCTTCCCTTGGAGACATGAGCCCAGAGCCCCCTAACCTGGAAAGAGAACATGATGTTAGGCTTTCTGGGAATGGCAGCCTGCCTCCACTTTACATTAAAGACTTTGAGGTACTCAGCACCCAGCTAGAAATACAAGACCTGTGCTTTCTAGGACCCTGTGAAGACTTTGCTGACCTCCCCAACCCAGGCATCTTAGACTTCCAGGCCACAGCAAATTCACAGGGGCCTCCAAACAAAAGAACTGAAGAAGCTGCCAGGGCCAGAGGAGCCAAAGGCAGACACCGGCCAGTAAAGGGCAGGAGGGCCTCCTACAAGTGCAGGGTGTGTTTCCAGCGCTTCCACAGCCTGAGTGAGCTGGATCTACACAAGCTGGCACACAGCCCCTCACCACCCCCTACTTGCTACATGTGTGTGGAGCGCAGGTTCAGCTCCCGGGAGCTTCTTCGGGAGCACCTGTGGGAGAAGCATGTGCAGGGCAAAGCAGGACCATGGGCCTGTGGCATGTGCCTGAAGGAGGTGGCCGATGTCTGGATGTATAACCAGCACCTGCGGGAGCATGCAGCCAGATTTGCCAGAAATGGACAGGCACGGAGAGGCCTGGGAGACCTGCCGGGGTGCTTGGAAGGGAAGAGCACTCTCACACACTTCCTGAACAACATTGTGGAGCAAGCATCCAAACCCCAGAGGACTGGGCACCCAACTGGCAAGGCCAGCAGGGAGGCATTGGAGCAGGAAGGAGATGCAGGGGAGAAAATCCCAAGAAGGGTGAAGCAAAAGGTGCCCACTGGGGTCACTTCCAGCCAAGATGGTGCTTTGCTATCACTCAGTCCGTCAGCGGAAGCAGGCAGTCCATCCATTCTGACCAGCAGCTCTGCCATCTGCTCTGGATCTGCCAAGACGCCCCCAACTCCATCCCCAGACTCTTGGTCCCACAGTGAGTTCCCCCTCCAAGCGGTCCCAGTGCATGAGGACTGCAAGGACCCCTCCCGTGACTGCCACCACTGTGGAAAGCAGTTCCCCAAGCCTTTCAAGCTGCAGCGCCACCTGGCGGTGCACAGCCCACAGCGTGTCTACCTGTGTCCCCAGTGCCCACAGGTGTACCCTGAGCACTGGGAGCTGAGAGTACATCTGGGCCTGACCCATGGGGTGAAAGAGGAGAGGGAACTACCACATATGCCGCTCTATGCCTGTGAGCTCTGTGCCAATGTCATGCATGTCATCAGGAGGTCCTTTGTGTGCAGCTCCTGCAACTACACCTTTGCCAAGAAGGAGCAGTTTGACAGACACATGGACAAGCACCTGAGGAGCGGCCAGCAGCCCTTCATGCTCCGAAGTGTTAGGCGGCCAGTGGTTCCTGAGAAGAAGACCCAGGTCCCCGAAGACATGCTACCCAGCAAGTGGCATGGGGTGATGGTGCCCAGCACTGACAGAATCCCATCCACAAGCAGCCCTTCTCCAAGTGAGGGCTGTCTCCCTGTACTACCCCTGATGTGTTCAGAGACAGCTCCTGACTCCATCCTGGACCAGCCCAGTTCTCAAGAGAGGCCTGTGGACCAGACAGAGCACTCACTCAAGGGGAACAACCCACCATTGACTGGCCAGGACCTTCCACCTCCATCTCTGTCTCCTTTCTTGGCAGCCTCAGCTGAAGGTACAGGTGGTTGCAAGCTGGACAGAGGCTTGGGGAAACCAGAAAATGAGATTTCCTTAGGCAGTCTTGAACCATGTAAGTGGCAAACTCCCCCAGGAGAAAAGAAGTCCCTTCACCTGTTCTCAGGAAAACATAGGAGCCTGGGCATCCGAGGCAAATGTGCCCCTGGCTGTTTCCCAGGAGACCCCTCCCAGCTCCAGAAGGAGAGGCTAGTGACCATACACCACGTGACACCTGAGGGGAAAATAGAGGTTCCCTCCCAGAAAGGAAGTGCCACCAAACCAGGGGCCTGCTCGAGTTCTTCCAAGCACAGACCAGCGCACCCCAGCAAAGTGCTAAAGCTACCAGTACCAAGAAAACCTATAGGGATGGGGACCCCAGCATCTGGAGAGCTGGGCCAGAGTCCTAAGGACAGGGTAAAACCCAGCACTTCTAAAGCTAAACTGAGACCCAGCTCTCAGGGCAGTGGAGATCTACAGCCTGGTACTCAGACAGGGGGTGGCAGCCAGCCCCAGCCAACCAGTGGACAGCTCCAAAGTGAGATGGCCTCCACCCCCACTGAGCCCAGCTGTCCTAGCTGGGAGAGCTCCACCCCTGACCAACCCCCACCTCAAGCCCATACCAAGGGAAGCGCCAGAGGGGCCAGAGAAGCTGAACATCAGGGTGTCCAAGTGCATTCAAGTCCCAAGGAGAGAAGAGAAAACAATGAAAAAAAGAGGAAGGGTCAGGCCCTGGGACTGGCCAGGCATGGAAGCATGGAAAGCATGGGGAGAGTCCCCTCAGCCCCTGAGAAGTCATCCAGGGCCCCTCGAAAGCAAGCAACTCCCAGCCGAGTTCCCCCTGTCAAGTCCAGATCCAGTAGCCAGAGCGGCAGGATAAGGCCACAGCCATCAGCACAGAAGAAAGGGGACCTGGGCCACGCTTCTGAAAAGGGCTCCTTCCCCCAGGCAAGACCCCTGTCCAGGCCATATAAAAGGGTCAGAGCAGTCTATGGTGTTGAACACATGGAGCCGCGAGACCACCGGACTGCAGAGGCCCAGAGCGATCTCCTCAGCCAGCTGTTTGGGCAGAAGCTGACCAGCTTCAAAATCCCTCTGAAGAAAGACAATTCCCAGTAACCCACAAGAGAGGGTGCCTGGGGGCCCAGCTGATGGGCTCCCGTCTGGCCTTCAGAGTTCGAGGCAGCTTGGTTTGAGACCACTCTTCTGTTCCTCTGCACCTGGCTTCCCACAGATTGTGTAACAGATTAGAGGGCTGGTGTGCTCCTGGAAGCAGGGCTTTGCGCTGGAAGACTGAGGTTTAGGAAAGGACCAGCCTCAACCCCCCCGAGGTCGTGCACCTGCTTTCTTGATACCAAGTGCTTGAAGAAAGCGGCTCACATCCCATCACTGCCACCACGCCCTGTTAGCCAGGTGCCTCATGCTGTAAAACTCATCTTTAAAGGTTTGCACAGGGTCCCCCATCTCCTAGCAGGTCAGCACATTAAGGCAGTCAGCCAGACAGTGGCAGTTGCCTTGTTTTGCTGCGGTTGCTAAGATTCCAAATTGACCTTAGAAGTCACATGGGAGGGGACCATGCTCTTTACTTGGGCCATTTCTGAGCCAGCTGGTCCTTGAGAGCATGACAGGACAATCCCTCTGACCACAAAGTCATGCTGGCCTCCAACTGCACTGCTGATGTTTCCAGCACCTTGACCCCAGGGACTGGGTTCCTGTAGGGAATGCAGAGAAAGCCCCACCTTGGCCAGTGCCCAATGGATCCCTCAGCCCTATGGCTCCTTCCTAGTGCCTTCCTCCCTCATGGGGCTCTGTCTCTAGGTCCCAGAAAACCTGATCCAAAGGTTCTGGTGCTATTCCCATGCTGTAATGTGAATACAGGCTCCCTGGTCTTAATTGAACCACAAGATAATTAGGATGGGGAGACCTAGCCAGGGAGGCTACAGCCCAGGCCTTGAACCTCACAGGCCTCCCCAGTTGAGTTCCAGTCCCAGAGTTCCAGCAGTGAAGGGACCCTCAAGGCTGGGCTGTGGGTGTGGTTTGTGCACTGGCATGAGCCTGCCGTCTACACACCTGCCAATATAGCGTTGTGTATCAAAATGGGCAGGAGGAGATGCTTCCCATTTCTCCTAGGGAGTCTTAGAGACTCCTGGCTTGTTTTGTTGTGTAGCTTTTAGTTTGGGTGCAATGTGAGTGTCAAAAGGTTTTATTTTGACATTTTAAACAAGACCAAATCAGGCCCAAATTGCCTCCTTAGAAGGTGCTGGGGTCTTTCAGAATGCCTCTTTCAAATGGATAAAGATGTGGTCAGGGAGTCCCTGAGGTCATACTGTAAAAGTCACAGTTAACTCGTCTTTTCAAATGTATTCCCACTATTTTCGCAGAAATCTCTTGGCTCTGTGTCATCTTTCCTAGTGCCTGCTCCTCACTGGGGCCCACATGTGGCTCAAAAAGCATTTGCTTTGATGGTCATTTCTCAGGGCTAGTGCATGCTATGAACCAAGCCAATGTTGGGGACACTTACGGCAGGACCCAATAGGGACTGAAGGGGAGCAGGAATCCTCTAAGGTGGACTTAGGGAAACAGAGAAGCGGATAAGGTGGTACAAACAGGACCAGGGAGGGGCCGGAAGGGATCTGACCAGAGTCCTCGCTTGTAGTGTTTGGGCCATCGATGCTCAGGGAAGTGGCTTGTTTGGTTTGGGTCTTAGAAAAGGTTTGAAGGGCTCCAAAGTGGAGACCGATTGGACCAACAAGATGCCCTGTCCTGCCCTGTCCTTCATCTCAGCAGGGTTCAGGTCGCCCCCTAGTTAGCAGCAGCTCCATCACCTAGGGCCAGGGTTGAGTGACTGGTCAGATGTCACAGACTGGTGGAACTCTTGCCTTCTCACACACCCCCAAGAGCTGACTTTAAAGGCAGTTTCTTGGAGACATATAGTTTGTGCTCAAAGCTTGACATATGACAGAGAGGCACAGAGGGCATAACCCTAGTCTGACCACCAGGTGGCAGTATCCACCTAACCAGGGAGCCTGACTTGCCACTGGAGCATAAAGGCAGCCCTCCGGAACCTAGTGGGCCTCAAAATGCTGTGGACAGAGCTAGGGATTTTCAGCTGCATATGCATCCAGCAGGCAGGTACCCTGTCTGTACCAATGGGAACACACTGCACACATGGCCCCACACATGAGTGTTCACACATGTACAGAAATTCTCTGAAAGCACACCTGCTCAGCCTCTAGGATGCGACCAGGTGCCCACTGGCTGCCTAGCAAATACCGATATATGTATTTGGGATGCATCAGGCAGTCAGGGGCCTGGCTTGGAGCCCTGGGTAGGATTCCCTGAAGAATACATTGAGATAAGAGCCAGGAAACAGTGAGTTACCCAGAAGGGGGACTGCAGAGGGTCCCAGCCCTGGGAATTATCAGGGCCACTATCACACAAAACTTTCCCTTGTTCTCAGGCAGGGCCACTTCACCCCTGAGGCTTTGAGGCCCCTCCTGGCTGCCATAACATCACCCCCACCCCCCAGGAGCTGCTGCAAGGGGAGGTATAAGTCTATCTCAGCCTGCCTAGGGAGGAGGGGAGGAGAGATGACCACGCCCAGGATCTGACGGAGGACAGGCAACAGGTAGAAACTTTGAGTTTCAGCTGGGGACCAGACAGCAAGAGGTTCAAGAGAGCCACTAGCAGCATGGACAGCCACACTTGGCATTTCTATGAGTTGAGCCCATTATCTCTGGGAAACTGAGGCTGGAGGTTCATGGAGATGTCAGCTGCCATGTCCATCATGGCTCCAGGGAAGGACCTGCCTGGGGCAGTAAAGAAATGAAGAAAAGGCAGATACAGAAAGACAGACAAAAAGAACTGGGTTTGGATGGCCTGGATTTTCCGATGGAGAAACTGCAGCACCCTAGAAGCTCAGCGTGTTTATTATATAGAGGTGGACAGGGAGGCAGGGTTGCCGCACACAGCTGAACAAAGGGGTGGGGTTTATTGCACACAGCTGAATGGAGGAGGCGGGTTTAGATAGTCTCAGGAGGAGCAGTCTCTGTAGGTATAAGGGAGCAGTCTTCAGGCTGTGAACATTCATGGGGAGAAAGCTATGGTGGCCATTTTCTGCTCACACTGTCAACATCCACACATGGAGAAGAGAAGGCTCTGCCATTCCCCTCAGGTCTTGAGGCTAGGGTCCTTGACATGGTTGTGCCAACAACACACATTCACTCAGGACCTCGCACACGCAGGCCTTCCTCTGCTTTCCCACAGGTTCTTTGAATACTGCCTTTGCTTGGCTTGCTGTGACACCTTGCAGAATCTTTGCTCCTGTAGGAAGAATTGAAAGGACAGGACTGGGCCAGCAAGATGGCCCTGTGGGTAAAGGCCTGTGTTCAATCCCCAGAACCCACATATAGGTGGAAGGAGAGAGCTGACTCTGGTGCTCTCCACACACACATGCACTGTCACACAACAGTAAGAAGAGAGGGAGGGAGGGAGGGAGGGAGGGAGGGAGGACAGGATCAGGAAAGGCCCCCTTTAGAGGAACAGAAGAAGCTGCCCAGGTATGGGAGGGTGCAGTATAATGCTACATGCCCGTGGCTGGGTTCCTTGTGGTATCCCCATGAGATATTGAGGCTTGTAGACTCCAGAGGCTGCAAGAAACCCACACTTGTCCATTTGGGCCAGGAAGACCCAGTTGCAGCCACAGATTCCTCCAATTTCCAGCAGCTGAGGTGAGTGAATCAGGGCCTGCCCCAGGCCACAGTCCCCAATACCCTGGGGGTGGGCATCATAGTCAGGCAGACACAATGAGACCTGTACTGTTGCCCTCCCAGTGTGCAAGGGAACCCAAGGTCACAGGCCACTTTCACGTAGAGCACTGTGCCTCCCAAGCTATTGGCATGGCCTTGAGTGTAGAAGCTCAAGGCCCCTGGCCTCCAGTCCTATGAAGGCAGAGGGGAGAGGCAGAAGTAGTCTACCTTGGCCCAGGGTTTGGCTGGGAATGGATAAACAGCTTCTCGGTCTCCATTGTCCAAGAGCCCCAGTGCTGTTTCTGGGGCCCCAGGAAGAGAGCATATGGGTTTGCCACGGTGATGAGAATGGCAAGATTTGGCTGTTTCCTCCAGCCCTAAATGGATATCATGCTCAACACACATCCTGCCACCCTGGCCCTCAGCAGCTTTCTCCTCAGCCCCAACTCCAGATGGGGAGAGCTGGCTGGCACAGAACATCTGGAGTTCATGACCAAGTCCTGGGCTTAAATGGGCTCTGTAAGATCTCCTGAGGGGCTGTGGCTGGGAGGAAATGGAGTTTGTGAGGCTCTGGGCTTGCCCCTATGACAAGCACTCACTGAAAAGAGAAAGCAGACAAGAGCGCTGGGGTGCTCCTCAGAGTAACGTACAGTAGCTTCCACAGTCCCCAGCAAGCCAGAATGGGGCCCCTCCCATGATGTAGAATGAGACATAAGACAAAGGCCACTGATGCTCCTCTATGGAGTGGGGGTGGGGGTGGTGAGTGGCACACAGCAGCTGCAGGCCAAGTGCAGTTTTGTGATCCAGCCATGTGATGATGCTCTTCTTGTTCCAACCCTATTGAGCCCCATGAGGGTGACTGTGGGTCTAACTTTGCTCTTAAGGTCCTATTCCAAATGGATTTTCCACTGCTTCTCTAGGACAGCTGTGACTGCTGGCAGACCCCTCCTTCCCCTCTACCTGAGCACAGCTGAGGGTTGGAAGAGTCCCTGAGGACACAGGACCTCTGTCCATGTCTGCAGCCACCCCAAGAATCTTTGGCTCTCATTTTCACTGAGAGCCAAGGACTGCTCAAAGGACCTCATGGCCATATCATGGACACACACTCCAGTGTGACGGCATCTCTCTGAGGGGTATTTTCTGGTCCCTGGTGATAGGTCATTGTCTGATCTTCCAACCTAGCATATCAGGGTTCTTCATTGCCTTAGTTCTGCTAAAGGGCACTGGCAGAAACACAGCCTTCCTTGGACATCTTGTATAAGCATATATAGAGCCACTGCACATGAACATCCAACCTGGTTATAGCTGGCTATGACTTAGTTCCTTGGCACCTTGTGCTCCACAGGTCCCCATGCTTAGGGTATGGCTGATGACCCTGCATGTCCAGACAGACCTCTTTACAGTCTTCATCTGCAGCTGGTCCACAGCTGGTGCTGAGTGCCTCCACTCCATACATGACTGCTACCCTTAGCCATCATCCCAGTAGTCAATACAAGGATTCAGCATGGGTGTGAGCTCTGGGTGCTGACTGAGCAGGTCCTGCTTCTGCCTCCCCTGGCCTCACTCCTGTAGCTGCAGTCATATGAGGCGGCTGAAAGCCAAAGCAGGCTTCCTAGTGACATCCGCCTCAGGCCAGTCCATGGCCTGGGGCTTTGAAAAGCCTGCACAGTCATCATCCTTGCCAACTTCCCATTGGCTGAAGCAGGTCTTGTGGGCAGAATGTGAGTGCCATTAGGAGGGCTGGTAGGTGTGTCCTGCTCAGCCTACACCTGGCCTCCCCAGGTATCCAGCTCCTCCCTTACCTCCTATCTTTATTCTGGTCATTTTATCACCAGCTCCCCTAGCCACAGTTATACTGTGGGAAGCCTGTGAGTCAGCTTTGCATTACTACACCAAAATACCTGAGGCAACCATGCAGTTTAAAAAAAAAGAAAGGCTCCAGTTCACTCATAGCTCCAGAGAGTCGGGGCAAGCACCTGTATCCACCCATTTCTGGAGAGTAATGAGTAGGGGGACACCCATGGCCAGAGATCATAAGAGAAACAAAACTCACGTGTTGATTAGGAGCAGAGAGAGACCAAGAGGGGACAGGGACTTGAGTGTAGGCCTCTACTGAACCACAATTTGTAAGGTCTCAGCACCCCCAAACATTGCCACATAAGAAAAATTCCAATATAGGCATTGGTAGGAGACTGAGCATTCCAGCACCCCCACAGAACCCCAGACACAGTGTCCCCCTTCTTGGCTTTCCAGAAGGACACACATCTCCCCCAATGCATTCTATAGCTACCCATTGCATTTAGCCTTCAAGAGCTCTCAGGGAAGTAGACATCTGACCTTCCAGTACTGTCCACCTCCGTCATCATGTTACAGTCTTTCCTTCCCACGTGGTCCAAACCACCAATTATCTCTGTCTATTGTCCCCCTCTTTCTCTAACCTGCACCCCTATGGTAGGGATGTCAGTGGTTCACTGCTTAATCCCAGGGCCTCAGCCTGACCCATTATCCCCGTGGAGAGAAAGAAGGAGGAGGGATGGAAGTGAGAGGGGAAGGAGGGATGAAGCTGAAGCGGTAAATATGCAGGAGGAAGCAGGCCCCGCCAGTGGCATGTTCTCCTGACCTCCAGCTCAGACGTAGATGATGTCCAGGGAAGGCTCTAGTTCTGCCCACACCCCTGCCTGAAGGGGGAATACAAGTCACATGTCACATGAGGAGTAACATGAAGGGTGGGTCTTGGCTTATGCTCACAATATCCAATGACAGCATCTAGGCACAAGCCTGTGGTCCCTTGGTGTCAGAGGGTATGGCTTGTTAGAGACCTCAGCTGTATACATGACCCTGGAGGAGGTGATATGGCTTGTGCAGGTGACCCAAACCAGCTTTTTATCCCTCTGCTGTCTTCTGACCTCTATCGAGACTATGAACAGAGACAAGGAGTGCCTGAGCCCTCTCCCCAGAGCTAGTCAAAGTCAGGGAAAACAGACCGACATCCCACACTACCTAGACAGACTACCGGATCAGGGAGCCAGCACCACTAGATTTGCCTCCTTCAGTGGCCTCCCAGTTCCTAACTTAATTTATTTTGACATCCTGGCTGCCATTTGACCTCCTTAGGGAATCACATGGTGTTTAAAACTCATTATCCTCCATTGAAACAGGAAGTTAATTAAACCCTTCACAGAGCTGGCGCTGACAAATGTCAGGATGGGCCCTTGGCATGGCTGCCTGATTTCTTCAGGGCCCAGGATGACTGGCAGTAGAGGAAGACAGGCCTGACCCAGGTGAGGGATAGGGGAAAGAAAGGTCTGGGCCTCTCCCGCAAAGCAGCATTCAGCATCCATTCTAAGGCAGAGTATGAGTATTTTCCAGGGGAATCCAGCTCTGCCCTTACTTGCTGTGTGGCTCCCGACAAGTGACTTTACCCCTCTGAGCCTCCATTTATCTACCTGACAGATGGTAATTATATTAGTTCCTCCTTTAGAAAGCTGATATGATCAATAAATACACGGACAAGGCAGTGTCCAGCTCGGAGGCTGGTAGCATGCTGCCCCTCCTTGTCACTGCTAATGAGAGATGACTAAGTGCCTAGTGCTGAAGGGCTACCTGAAGCTGCCTTACAAGCTGGAACAGAGAGGAACAGGGATTCCCTCCAAAAAGGTGAGCAGGAAGGGCATACACAGCACCCAAACAAGTAATGCAAAGGCCCTGTGTCCACAGGACTTTGGAACCCACATGTAGGACCTTTAGAAGTTAAGGCAGGGAAAAAAGGGGGTCTCACTCAAGGCATTACTGGAACTCATGGCAGTCATCTTGCCTTGGCCTCCCTAGTAATGAGATTAGAGACATGTACCACCACACCCAGCTAAGACAAGTGTCTGTGAGTTATCATGACTTCCATTGGCTTCAGCCTCTGATGGGGATGCGAATGAATGTAGGCACCAACTGGAGCTGGCGACTGTGATCAGGAGAGGAGATGGGGAGAAAGCCACATTTAGAGAATCCCAGTCACCAGAAGATGAAGCCACAGAGACCAAATGATTGCAATACCAAGTGGGGTTTGGGAGAGACCGAGGAGCCAGTGCAAAACTGTCATCTTGCAGCCCTGACCTCTGGCCCATGGCCTCATTCCCCACATCCATTTTGTTCTCAGATAGTCGGCTGTGTGCTCATGCCTCCCAGCTTCTGTGTCAGTGCCACTCCTATGATGCTATTCTGGGCATCCTCTTCATCCTTCAAGGTCTAGCGTAAGTTTCTATGTCGTGCTCTGAGTCTCTCGGTTATAGAGACTCAGAATATGCCCACCAGTCAGAGAGCCAGCCATAGGATAGAAGACCATGGACAGACAAGACACAAACTTAGACGCAGGACCGAGGAGCCAGAGGTGACTTTAACCCATTACTATATATCAGGAGGAAAACACAGTCCTTCCTAGGATCTCACCCTTCAAAACAACAGAAGAGGATCCAAAATTCGGCAGACGACTCTGGGGTTGCTTCCTGAGGCGATTTCCCAGCTCTCTGTACCTTGAGCTGTGTTCTTAGAAAGGATGTAGGCCTGTCCGAGCCTCAGTTTCTACGTCTGTGGCATATGCAGGCCACCATCAAAACAGCAGCATTATATGTCCTAGAACTACTCTGTAGCTTTCTGCCTGGAAGATACCTCCTCCATGGCATAAACCTTTGAGACCTACACAGGGTCCCAGGAGAAAACCCAAGCTCAGAGGATGCTGACAGTACCAAAGCCTTCACCCTGTCCTGTGTGCCCGTAGTGGGTGCTGGCACCCTTGGCACCTCTCAGCAAAGCTTCTGGGGACCCACTACTAAGCCTTGGATTCCCAGGAGAGCAGGAGTCCCTGCAACCACAGCAGGACTTCCTGGCTCTGGACAGAGTCCTCCTGCTCTACAGGAAGCTGACCACAGGGTCCTTGGCTGAAGCAATTCCACTTCTCTGCTGACTCTGGCTGTGAACTTGACACTCCCAGTAGACACTCAGATGCAGGGGGAAATGGGCCCACAGTGGGAGCTTGTGGAAGATAGAGAGGAGGAAGACACTCAGGAAGCTGCAAGCTGAGGAATGGCAGAGAACCCTGGAGACACATGGCCCCTGATGGGAGGCTGTATGATTCAGCATTCTGCTACAGCTATATTGGGATTCTTCATTTTTAAACAGGGGTCTCATATTTTCATTTAGCTTTGGGCCCCACAAATGATGCTGCTTGTCCTGGTTGACAGGCTCCATGTTGCTGAGTGACCTAAGTATGTCCTTCTCTCCCTGCCTGGACTCTGTATACATAGCATCATACGAGTAAAGCAGGTAAGGCAAAGAAGGGTCCAAAGACATGCCATCTCACTCTCCTGCATCTCAGGCAGACATTACCAATCGAAAACCAGTTTCCTTTCATGGCTGTCAGATCCTAACTTAACCACAGATGCTGTCCAGCAGCTCCAGCCTAGGCACTACTTACTGAGTACCCAGTTTCTCACCACTTCCCTACATGTCAGCCCCAGTTACCTCCCAGGCCCCTTCCTGTAAAGCACTCTTTCCTTGAGAGGCAGTACCCAAGAAAACAGTCAAGTGGAGTGCCTTGTCCAGTGCTGAAACATCTCGGGGTCCCTAGACTGAGGAGACCTAGCAGATGTGGGGTTCCCGGCTGTAGAAGGACAGCTCCTTCTGGGAAGGGGTGGGAAGCTGGGCAACCATGTGCAGATCTTGGATCCTGGCCTTGGTGTTCCAGTATGACCGACCAACAGAGAGGGGTCAGCATCATGTCCCACTGGCACAATGGCCTTCACAGAGTGAGAGCCGTGGCAGGGAAGAGGTAGTCACCCCTCTCCTCCTCTTTACAAGGGCCCCAGTAACAGAAACTGTAGGGACGCTGGTCTCCTACCTAGAACACCTGATAGCTGGCAACTGGCAAACTTCCAAGGGGACATGAATGGTGACAGCTGTACCGACTGGAGACTGTCTGCCTGGTGGGGGCCAGGTGTCTCCTCTGTGGAGAACTTCCTGCTTCCCTGTGTGCTATGAAGAGGGTAGTAGACATCAACGACACCCATTTGGATGCTTTGTTTGGATGAAGACATGAATCCCATCCCCAGCTGTGTGATCTTGAGAATGTCTCAAGGTCCTCAAAAGAATGCAAGGTATGTTTTTGACTGTGTGGGCACTGCAAACCTGCCTGCTTGGGGCTATATGAACAAGGAAAGCTTTGGGCGGGGGCACACCTCCTTGGCAGATGTCCACTGTGGCCTAGGCTGTAGTTAAGCAAGAAGGCCAACTGACCTCTGGCTCCTCTCGGATTTCTAAACAGGTGTGAGTTCAAGAGGAAAAACCTGCGGTTCCCTAGCTAGAGAACACAACCATCAGAAGTTGCAGAACACAGGGTTGCGTCTTCCAGGAGTCTCATACTGAAGCCTCCTTCCATACCAGACCTCTGCCACATTCCAAGTCCTGAACAACACAAATTCTGTGTCCAGGCCTCAGGCATTCAGACCCCGGTGCTGGCTGCCTAGAACGCAGAGCTGCAAAGGACAGCACAACTTAAGGCCATGGGGGGCGGAGCTCCAGAGCGGAGGGGTAGGGCCAGACAAGTCAGGGGCCTGTGCTGCAGGGTTGCTGAACAAAACAGGTCTCCAAGTCCTAACCAGGCCTGCGGACATAGCCTCGGGAAACTGGAACTAGCGAAGGAGGCTAGAGGTCTACCAAGAACTGAAGGTGGGAATTATGGACAAGGCCAGCACGACCTGGGGCCAGCCCACAGGAGGTGAGGACAGGGCTGTGGACTGGGCAGAGGTAGGCAAGGCTGGGGTGGGGGGCGGGGAAGGACCGGGCTTGTGCAAAGGACTACAGGCCAGGGGCGGGGCTAAGGAAAGGGGCGGTCCTGCTGAGGCGGGGCGAAGGTGAGGAAGGATGAGACATGGGCGGAGCCAGCACAGGGAAGGAAGGGCTGGGGGCCGGGCCAGCACGGGATGGTGGGGAATACAGGGGCGGGGCCAGTGGGAAGGACGAGCCAAGGGGCGGGTCAGTTTGAGGACAGCAGAGGCTGTGTTCTGCGAAGTGGAGGAGCTGAGGGGCGGGGTCAATGTGAGTAGAGTAGCTGAGGAGCAGAGTCAATGCGAAGAGATCAGAATGAGGGACAGGGTCAATGTGAGGAGGACGGCCTAAGGAGCGGGATCAATATGAGCCGAACAGCTGAGAGGCAAGAGCATTTTGTGGACGGGATCAGGGACAGGGGCAATGTGAGGGGGACGGCTGATGGGCGGGGCCAGTGTTATAAGGTGGCTGGGGGGGGGGACAGTGAGGAGGATAAGCTGGGGGCGGGGCCAGTGTGAGGAGGACGCGCTGACGGGGTGGGATCAATGCTTGAAGCATTGGCTGAGGGGCGGGGACAATGAGAAGAGGACGGATGAGTGGTGGAGCCAGAGCGAGGAAAGACGGACAGGCGGAGGCTGGGTGAGTACGCGGAAGCCGAGGCAAGCAGAAAAGGGATAAGCGCTGGTTTGGGGGCGGGGCTAGCGGGAAGGACGGTCTGGGGGCGGGAAGGCGCGACCGCGGAGGACGGTCCGGGGAGTGGCGAGAGGCGGGGCGGCCGCCAGCTAGGCGAAGGCCCCGCCCTGTTGGCCATCCTGCCGGGAGCGCCCTGGCGGCGGCCGCGGGATCGCCGCTCGCGGCTCGCAGGTTCCATTGAGAAAAGCCGAGCGGCGGCGGCGGCGTCTGCGCCGGAGCAGAGAAGCCGCCACCAGCCCGCCGCCCGCCGGGCAGTCCGCGCGCCCGAGCGCAGGGCCGTGGCCTCGGGCCTCCGCGGCGGCGCCGGCGGCCCACAAGCGGCGCGGCGGGCTGGGGGCGCGGGCCGAGGCAGCCGTGGAGCCCACGGGCCGGGGGCATGAGCCGCCCCGCCGCGCCCCTGCCGCCCGCCGCCGCCCGCCAGGGGCTAGAGGCGGCCGCCGCGAGGGCGCGCGGTGCCGGAGACATGTCCAGGAGGAAACAGAGCAATCCCCGGCAGATCAAGCGTGAGTCAAACTTTGCCCGCGGTGCCCGCCGGACCCCCACTAGTGCCTACTCTCCCAGCGCCGCCCCTGTGCGGCCGCCCAGCCCCGCTGCGCCCGCGACCTTCACCCCGCGCCGCGCCCCCCGCGCGGAGTGCCAAGCGCGCCGTAATCTAATCTCTGCCGGCGGGCAGGGCCCCCGCGTCTCGGCTTGGGCACCCAGGGGGTCCGGGCCCCGAGAGGGTGGCGGGGTCCGGAGAGCCGGAAGGAGAGTGTCTGGGGGCGCGGCTCCGGCATAGCCCGGCCACCTCGCGGCCTGCACCTCCCCCGCATCTCAGAGATGGTGCGGCGATAGGGCGGCCCTGATCTGGGCTCAGATAAAGTTTAAAATATTCCATTCTGCAAGTCCCATCCTGATAAGATCGCTCTGTCGGGACGGGCTGAAATTGTGATCTTATCTGGCGCGCTTGACTCTCCCAGGCTTTGTATCTAGAGGCAGAAGGAGAAAGACCTGGGAGTAAGGGGTACCTAGGGCTGCGGGCCGGGCCGGGCCGGCGCCCACCGCAGCGCTTTGGCTGCAGAGCGGCGTGGCTGCGGGGGTGAGGTAGTGGAGTCTGCTGCAGCCCAGGCACTCGGCACTGGCTGGCCAAATCCCCTTTATCCGCCTCAACTCTAGAGTTTTCGATCTGCCCTCTGCCTGCTTGGGGATATATGGAGGTTCGACCCACCCACAGTCCATTACCAACGCTACACGGGCAAATAGTGCCCATGGACACCTCTCCTTCCACCCCCGCATCCGAGGGGTTATTTTGAACCAGCCAGGGACCTCAGGGACTCGAGCGTTGTTCTTGCATACATCCAAGTTTCTCACAGGTCCTCCAGTGGGCACTTTCCGGAGAAGGGCAGGCCCTCTACTTCTACATCACCCATGCCCTGACAATAGGAGCTCCTTGTGCTCTCTGGGCCACTAGGTTGCGGGGCCACTTGGCTGCACTTGGAACAAGTAAGCACACAGGAAGAGCTCCTCCTCACGCCACACCAATAATAACTTCACGCTTCTCCCGGCAGGGCATGGGGCTTCCTCCCTGGAGCTTCCCCCTGGCGGGAGAAACAAGTCATCTGGGCTGCCCACAAGGTGACAAGGGAGGGGGGCATCCGGCTTCCCAGCTCCAGATGCCTGGCTGCCTTCTCTGCCCACATGACGCTGCCACCAGGACCCAATGTGCATTCTAGCCTGTGAGAGTGTCCCTACCACTAAGGTCTCAGGAGAGGGGGATGAAGGCAGGAATCTGGGTTCTGGTAATCCGACTCCCCAAATTCGAGCCGGACCTGTTTTCCGAAAGTCTCCTTCTATCATGTCAACTCAAGTATTAAAGCCACCCACAGGTCCCGATCTGTGCTGGTTCTCTGGTTTCTTTTTCCCCTCCTCCCCTGTGCGCCTCTGCTGGGTTCTGTTCTCGCGTGTATGTGTGTGCGTGAGCGTGTGTGTGTGTTTCAGCTTGATGAGAAATGCAGATAGCTAGGGCAGGGAGATCTCAGGTTGGGAACGGATCGCCAGCGCTGATAAGGCGGTTGGAGCCCAACAGAGCCCAACCCACTTGGGTCAGCGAAACCCCGCACTCTGGGAACTGGGACCTGGACTGTGCAGGAGAACCCCTCCGATCCCCTCACAGTACCCCAGGACTGGAACAGAGGAGGAGAGCAGGCCTGGGGGGGGGGCGGATCCCGGAGTCCTCTGTGCAACTCGTGGCCTGGGCTCCTCCTCCCCTAACAGATCTAAACGCGTTAAGATGCGAACATTGATTGTCACCAAGCGGCGGCGCCTGCCCGCCTGCTCTCTGCCCAAGGCCGTGCGTGAGGCCCTCGCTGCTGTGCGCCCGCTGCTCTGGCCTCACCTGTGGCGGGTCTCAGGGTGCGGAGGGGAAGCAGGCTGAGCTCTAGGGGCCACCGCCCTCCACGCCCCCACCAAAGCAGGGTTGCAGCTGCCCGCGCCTCTGTGCTCCTTTTGTTCTGCGCAGAGATAGATGTGCCGTGCTGATAAGGCTTGCAACCGATGGCAGCCGTGATAGCGCTTCCATTTATTAACTTCAAACGTGGGAGATGGGGGAGGGCGAGGCAGGAGCGCGGCCTTAGCCGGCCAGATGGCTGACTTGATAGGCCAGGCCCCTGGAGGGGGCTAGGGGCAGGGTGTAGCTCGGGACCCCTGGTGCCCTGGCCCGCCAGTTCTCCCCCTGCCCAGTCGATGTAATCTGTGATAAGTGGGGGCCTAAGCGCGGGCCAGTCCGCCCAATGGCGATTGCCAAGAGTGATAAGAGGCCTTATCTACGGCCACCAGGCCCTGCCGGGTTCGAAGCAACAGCAGTGTGGGGGCGTCCGGCGGCAGCAGGGGGCCTAGGCTGCAAAAGAGGGAACAACGGGGGGCGTCCATCTGGGACACTTTCCCCAAACACTCTTAATTGGCAAGAAGTTGACCTTCCCCCTGTGACCAGTGGTACAGTCCATCAAAATGAAAGAAAACTGACTTCGTGCTGCCTGAGGGGAGGGGAGAGAGAGGACACTCCTCCCCTCATTCCAATTAGGTTGCACTCAGAGGCCAGGGGCGGTTTGTCACCTGCGAAGGGTGGTTTCCCCTGAATCATGCTGGGTTGCTCTTGGTTCCTGGCAAGTCTTAGGTGTGACTCGAGTGGAGTTTTATTGAAAAACTTGAGGTGGTTTCCACTGACTTGACTGCTTTGAGAAGACCAGCAGGTACACATAGGGGAGAGATCTGTATAGATCTGCCTGAGCAGACAGGTGTTTATTGAGAGCTCACTGCGTGCTGTGTGCAGTGGAGTGTTTTTGTGCTCCGGTTGTATGCTGTTCTGTGTTTATTGAATACCTGCTGTATGCAAGCACTGACTTGGCCCTATCTAAATATGAGGAAGGCAAAGGAGTGGGGAGGCACAAGCAAGCGAGAAGTCTGGGGTCAGGGTCAGTTCTCAGTAGCTAGCCTCTAGACTGCCAAGAATAGACCAGACATGGTTGCACTTGGATGGATAGTAACTTGACCTCAGTTTTCCGCTTGGGAAATTGGGCTGTTTGGGGATGTGAAAAGCTGAAAGGCAAGACAAGTAGTGAGAATGAAGTTCGGAAGGTACGGACATGCAGGGCTGGCCTCAGTTTCCCTCATTAGTGATCCCAGATGCTAAAAGACCTAGGTCACTGGGGACAGGCTTGGAGGAGGAATCCACCTGGTGCAGCCTCCCTCAGTCTCTGAGGAGGTGTTTTCACACATTCTTACAGTTCAGTTAAGCAAAGGATTGGTAGCCACAGGATGACTAATTTGCTCCATGCTCAGCAGCCATCTGCCAACTCCCTCTAACACCTAACACCCACCTACAGGGACAGTGGTGCAGGGGACAGCCCCATTCCCAGAAGAGCCAGGGTGAAGCCCCAATAGGAGCTGGGTGGGTTTAGTTATACTGTGTGGACATAGGGACTGTTTACAGAGAGCATTGCCCACTCCCATTGTAAGGATAGGTGGTGCCTGGGTCAGGTCCCTCAAGGCTTTGGTAGACCATGACACCTGGAGATTCCTCTGCCTCCATGTCTTCCCTCTATGACAGTATCTGTCATCCAGGGCTCAATGAGTGTAAGCTACCTCCTCTAGGCTATCCCGAGCCCTGGTCATTAGTACTGGCCTGGTACTTGATGTTCCTCTAGAGTTCTAGAGCTCAAGCATGGAGCCTG